TATATATATATCACGAGAACTAATACCCTCAGTTAGTATTATCTCGACGAGTAAGTAATTCTCAAAAGTGTTCGAGATCATCTTTACAGACAACACACGTACGTAGTCAAAGTTACAACACGAAGCCTTCAAAGCCGAGACTCATCGAGAGGCAAACTTGTTCCGAGCTTCGTAAGGACTCGCAGCGACTCTATTAACGAGTCTACCAGGCATATCGTTTTCGAAACAAAGTTGAGCCCGGTGAGTAGTTCGCCTTGCATTATCAAAAAGGTTTCTTAAAGCTCGAGGAACTCCTGGCCAAAAAGTCGGGATCCACTTGGTTTACCAGGAAATTCGTCACGGTCGAGTTAAGTGACGCTCAAGCCTGGTAGCCCGGGCTGGCCAATGAAATTATGGTTTCGTCTGGCTACGACGACGACGATTTTCGTCGGCTCGGCGGTGTGCCGCTGACAGGTATCCAGAATGCAGCCTGTTCGAGAAACAAGCGTCGTCGTGTGCGGTCTGGCCGCACATCGAACGCAGTCTCGCCTCGTCTCCGGTCCGAGTTCCGGCACACCAGCTTTAAGCCGCATCCGGTTGAATTTATAGCGGACATCGCGCCGCCGCGGTCATACCGTTCGTTGCTTGGATTTCCCCTCCGGCTGTTCCAGCGAAAAATTCGATAGATCTCTCCCAATTCTCGGACGTTACCGTGCAAAGGGTGTAAAAGTAGCACGTGTCGCGACTTTCGTGTTTCACGTTTTCTTGGTTTTTAAAGCTTACGACGATAAATCCTTCCGGCCTGTGGAATATTTACTTTCCAGTGACTGATTCTTCAGGAAGCAATTTTATAACAATTTGTCTGATTAATTACAATTGTCAGTCTACCTTGGACGTTTTGTATATTTCGCATGCTTCGTAGGTTTCAAATTTTTCAAGAAAGTCGAAAATTATCCTTATTGAAACTTCTACATGAACATCTGCAAGTTCAACCGTATCGTACGTTTTACGGTAGATTCTATCAACTTTGTATTTAATTTAACGCTTAAATCGATCTCTTTAGTGGTTCTCTGGTGTAGTTGAAGCGTATTTATCGTTAAGCAATTATTATTTTGTTACTGTATATTTATCGTTCTTCGTCTGTGATTTTTTTATCCTATTGAATAAACAGATGAACAAAAATACAAGTTGAAGTGCTAATATTCTTCGCGAACCACAATACATGGAGTATTGATGATAGTGATTGATAATACAGTCGATTGGCAATTAAATTAATAATAATAACTAGATACGTTTAACAATAATTTCCATAGCACTTTAAATGGCTTCTAAACGAGTCAAGTTCGAGCACGATGAACATGTTTCTATAAAGCATGAATGATTTAAAAGAAATCCCAACTATTATTATTTATTCAAATAAACATTTCGTATAATACGTATAATATATGTGTATGTGTGTATGTACATAAAAGTTCTCCCATGATAATGTACATACTTCGCGGAAGAACAGGTGACTTATCATCTTCGCTCCGTCGCCAGAGATCGATGTAACGTATTCTCAAGCCTAGCCAAAGAACAGTATGAATAATTCAAAGACGCGGCGGGAAGACGGAACGCCGCGGATTTAATCAATGCTAGATAAGAAGGCTGGCGCGGTTTAATTCGCCTCCGGTGTCGCAGGGCCAGACTAGTTATTAGCAGTGTCAAAGGGTGCCACCGCGGCGAAAGTGACGAGTTTCTTCTCACGTATGCTAATCAACGTTAGCGAAAGTTATTCCTAACGCGGGGGAATTTAATCCCGGGGCCCGGTGGGTCGCGCGAAAGACACATCCCAATCTCGGGGCTGAGCCTGACGTTCAAATTGCATCCGCGCCTGCTCCGGATCCCCTTCGGCGAGAAACCAACTTCAGAAACGCGGATCCTTTGCCAATTTGCCGGCATAATCCACTGGAGCGCGATTTACAAAGAATCAACCCAGTCATTCCCGGTGACTGACAATGAGATGAAACAGCCGACGCGATTCTTTGCTTTGACTTTAACTTTCCTGGCCACGACCATTCACGTCTTTTTACAATTCTTTTTCAGGGTGTATTCGTAGTAATAATTGGGCCAGTTTAACGACGATTATGTAACGTGTTGAACTCACCGTGTTATATTTAATAACGTCCAAAGATAACATTGCAATCTTCGTTTAGAAAATGTAGAAAGTATTCAACGCAAGTTTCTTTTTCCTCGTAGGAGGCTGTATGTAAAATTTCAGAAAAGTATGATCTGGTCTGTCCAAAATAAACTTAGACAGAAATACCAGGACGAACTGTTTCATCAACTGACAGCTTTCCAGTTCGTGCGGGAAAAGTTATCCTGAACGACGCAAGTGATTTGTGTCGCTCGATAGCTGGATCGAAAGCGGGCGAAGTCTAAAATTTTCGAAAACGCGCACGTTAGAGGAACGAAAGAAAAAACAAAACGAACAAAAAGAAGAAGGAAAAAAGGAGGAAGATTCGATTTCTCATCTGCAGATTTCATTTGAATTCTCGCCGGCAAAAATAAAATGGAAAAGAGAAGAGAGAGAAGCTTCTATTACCCTGTGAAATGTGTTTTTCCACGCTCGGCCGGCTTGCTTTTTTCCCCCATTTTCCCGAATGTCTCGCCGTGTTTGGTTCGATTCCATGGAACGCGGTGTTCCGGAGCCGAGAGTTACAAAGCGCAAAGTTATCCAGCGTTATTCGAAGGCGGCAAAGGCAACGGGACCGATCGTGAAAAGAAAAGGTTATGGCGTAGCCCGTGGACGGACATTCGCGGAGATTGAAAATCGCCGGCAATGAAATATACTCTCCGCTCTGTCGATTTTCGACTTTACTGTTCCATTCGTGCCATCCGCTCTCCGCTCTCCGGCGTTTTTTAAGCTTTTCTTTTTTTTTTTTACGACCGAATGATCGTCGCGGTGGAAAATATTCGCTATTAAATTCGCCCAACTTTTATCGTTATTCGATGAGAAGTTTCGTCCAAGTCGAAAACGGAAGGAGGAACGTGCTTGATCTTGAGCTTTGTAAGGTAATTTGACGCAGGCTCCAAACTGAGCGTTACCTCAATGCAAATTTTTTGGACTTACTATCGAGAGAGCAAATTCGATCGTGTGACTTCTTTCACGAAGATCTTCTACGTTAATAAATTGGAGACAATACATGTTACAGCTGCTGAATTTGTATAAATATTGATACTACGCTTCATAATTAACCACTAGGGCATATTTTCAGGGATAATTTTACATAAATTAAAATAAGAACTCGTTGATTTCCCGTTCCAATCGAATTTCTCCGATGCAAGTTTTGTAAAATACTTCTCAACTGCATAGTTCAGAGTCTGCTTGAAAAAAAGGAAAGGGATAATCTCGAGTGAATCGCGTGTTTCGTTTCAATGTGAAGGCGCGACGCTCGATTTGAAATAACACCCAGTGTTGTCGCGGCAAAGCCCGAACGCAAGTACGACGCGCGGCTGAAAAATTAACCGGCCTTAATGAAACCGCGCGCGAGAATAGCCGGCAGAATGGAGAATACAGAGAGCAAGAGAAACCACGGGAATAATCCGTAAATCTCGTTTTTATCGCGGTGGCGGCACACGCCGGCAAGGTGGAGCTGGTTGGAAAACGCGAAAGAACAAAGAGAAAAGCCAGAGGGGCCAGAGGTCGTGGCACGGAGTGGGACGTA